GGCGGGCAGAGCCTATGCCTGGGGGGGGGAGGGAGGGAGGGCACAGAGCCCTCCAGCCGTGGAGGTGGCTGTGGGGGCCAGCACTGTCCCCAGGGACTGGCACTGTCACAGGGACTGGCTCTACCCCTCCCTGGCTGGCCTGGGGCAGGGGTCTCCTACCTTTAAAGATGGGGCAGATGCGTTTCCAGATGGGGATGGCGCCCGTCCTGTGGAACTGCCCCAGGGCCAGCTCCATGTAGAAGAGGGGAACCCCCCCAAAAACAGCCATCAGCGTGTAGGGGATGAGGAAGGCTCCTGTGGGGCGAGGAGGGGGGCGCTGGTCACCCCCGTGGCCGAAGGGGGGGGGGGACCACCCCCGAGCCATTCCCCAGCGCTGCAGGGGTCAGGGGTGGGTCACACGTGGGTTTGGATGGCTCTTTGTAAAGGAGCTTTGCAGATCGTTCAGAGGGGCTGGTGGGTGAGGATCTTGCTGGGTCAGTCCCTGCTGGTGTCCCAGCCTCCCCTGGGGAGGGATGGTGTGGCCGAGGTGGAACAAAGAGCAATAGAAACCATCAGGGTGCAGGGGAGGGGGCACAAGAGCCTCTCAAGTCTAAGTTTTCAGAGAAGTTTTGGAGAAAATCCCCCTCAACACGCTCAGTCACCCTGAGACAGGAGTAATTAACGCTGTAATCTGCATTATTCATAACAGTGTCTTCTCTGCCGGGGCTGCACTTGGACCCCGTGGAGGTTTTGGAACTGGAGCTGCTCTCAGAACAGCCCTGTTGGGATGAGTTAATTTAACCCCCACAGCTCCTCTCTCCGAGCCCTCCACGCGCTCCACCCTCAACCCCACAGGGCTGGAAACGTCTTGTAGGACAAAACCCCATCTCCAGGTGATGGAGGAGCCCAGCACCAGCTCTGCAGGGACCATGGGCCTCCTTCCCAGCTGCTGCTGCTTGAACCCCTCACCCCCCGTGCCTGGGGTGGGGTGGGGAAAGCTGCTGCCGGAGCCACGTCGGGGAACAGGGGCTGAAGTTTTCTCCCGGGCCCAGGAGAGCAAATCACAAATAACTGAGCGTCAGCAGGGGCACCTGGGAGCCACATTTTAGCCTTGAGTGTGGTACTAATTATCTCCCTCTCTCTTTCCCAAGCAGCAGAGGATGTTCCTGCACGCTGGCTTCGGAGAGGAGATCCGCTGTGCTTTGGCAAACAGCACCAAGTTTTCCTTCCTCATTTTCAATTCCCATGCAAGGGGCTTTTCTGCTCTGATCTATTTAAAGCCATTTATTTTGAAGTCTTTTATTCATGATTTTTTTTTTTTTTTCCCTTTCACGGAGCTTTTGTAGCTGAACTTTCTGTTGATCCCTGGCAGGATCGAACCCCTGGAGCCCTGTGTGGAGTGGTGCTGAGTGTCCTGGGGAGCTGGGGGTGGTCTGGGGGGTCCAGCACCACTGGCCACCCGGCTGGGATCTGTGCAGGCAGCTGGGATGCTTGCGAGGATTATTTTAAAGCATGAGACAAGGTTGCTTTCACAAAGTCACAAGTTCATAAAGAGGACGAACCTCCCACCCCAAATTTGCAGATCCTTGACCCTTTTATGCCGTTTGGACCACACTGGTTTTCTCTGTGTGATCCTAGAGCTGCTAAGGCACCTCAAACCATGCCAGCAAAGGAGGGAATGGCACCAGGGAAGGGGTGGATGGAGGAGGATTGGGATGAAGAGACACAAAACAGAGATATCAGGAGAAGCTGGGCTGGTCTCTAAACCGCCCTGTCCGGAGAGGAGCAGCTAGAGACAAAGAAAGTCAAGAAACAGCGAGCTTTGCAGCATTGGAAAGATGAAAAACAGACCTTTTTTTCTCCAAAAGAAGACTTAAACAACCCCAGCGGAGCCCTTACCCCCTCCGTTCTGGTAGCAGATGTAGGGGAACCTCCAGACGTTGCCCAGATCCACAGCGAACCCGACGACCGAGAGGAGGAAATCCATTTTTTTGCTCCACTTGTCCCTGGGGTGGGTTTGGGGCTCCAGGGGTGGGGGGCTGGCTGTGGGACCCGGGCAGGGGGCTGTCCCCAGCCGGGGAGGGCTGGCAGCAGGCACCAGGCAGGGCTGCTCTGCCATCCTGCTGCCCTGGCAAATCCTGCAGGAGTCAGGCTGAGGAACTTGGGGATGGGAAGGATTTTTCTGTTGCTGATGACAGAGCCGAGGAGGGGAGGGTCAGGCTGACTGAGCTTCCCCACCTCCCGCTGGAAACCCACGGCACAGAAACCCATCCTCTGATCAAAGCAGGAGGGGGGAGCAGTGCTGGGAGCAGGGACCAGCCTCACTGCACCCCCCCCGACCCCCCTGCCCCTGGGCTG